AGAAGAAACCGCACTTGGCTAGGAGGGAGTTTCTTCCCAGAGAGATGTCGTCCATCTCGCTGGCGTTGCTGCTCGTGGCCGTCCTGCTCCTTAATGCCCTTCTCTACCTGTACCTCAACAAGTTTTACACCTCTCTGGGGCACACCGAAATGGACCCGAGCCTCTGCCCCTTTGGGTACTTCAAACTGGGAGCAGTGAAGAATTGCTCTCCGTGGCTTTCCTGCGAGGCCATAAATAGGGAAGTCAGGAAACTCAAGTGTGTTGGTGAAGGTGCTGTGAAAAAGGTGAGTATGGTTTTCCTTTCTTCTCTGCTGTGGATAAAGAGCTTTCACAGTTTGCTGGCTAATTAGTGCCCATGCTGCGGTTATGATTATCCTTGCAGCAGCTAATTGCTGTAGACATCCAGGAGCATCTGACCATTGATGAGGTGAGCAGAACAGGTAGGAGACCATGACCTGGAGCACCTCCCTGACACCAAATGACATCCAGCTACACAAGCAAAATCACAGAGATCGGTGAAGCACTTGTGGAGCCTGGTGCAATCATGGCAGAGTAAGACTGTCTGTTTGGGTGGTATGAAATAATTCACCTGCATTGCTCATTGTAAAGAAAACTTAAGAAATCATGATGTAATTATGATGTCGGTAGGGGCTTGCCGTGACAGGTACATGGCCCTACCGAAAGTTGACCATGCCTAATGACTGTAATTTGCAGTTGTTACTGAGCAGTCACAGTGGCAACTCGTCGCAGTTCATAGAAGAAGACTCTCCATGTGACTTACGTGTCTCTTGTGTGTTCTCAGGTCTTCCTTTCGGAATGGAAGGAAAATAAAGTGGTCCTTTCACAGCTCACCAACTCAGAGCTGAAGGACGACTTTCTCCATGGACTGAAGATGCTGAAAGCCCTTCAGAGCAAGTATGTTGTCCGGCTGCTTGGCTACTGTGAGCAGCAGTTCACAATCCTCACCGAGTACCATCCTCTTGGCTCCCTGAGGGGCCTGAATGAAACTCTCCACATTCCCAAATACAAGGGCATGAACACCTGGCATCGCAGGCTGATGCTTGCTATAGACTACGTGAGCGTCATTCGGTACCTGCACAGCAGCCCTCTGGGCACCTTAGTGATGTGTGACTCGAATGACCTGGACAAGGTCCTCTCTCAGTATCTCCTAACAAGTGACTTTCACATCCTCGTGAACGATTTGGACGCTCTGCCTCTTGTGAACAGGAGTGCTGGCAGGCTGGTGAAGTGCGGTCATCGAGAGCTTCAGGGGGAGTTTGTAGCCCCTGAGCAGCGTTGGCCCTATGGGGAAGATGTGCCATTCGAAGATGAGCTCATGCCTCCCTATGATGAGAAAACAGACATCTGGAAAATCCCAGATGTCTTCAATTTTTTCTTGGGCCATGTTGAAGGAAGTGATATTGTACGACTGCACTTGTTTGACATCCATGCAGCATGTAAGAAGAAGGACCCGGCGGAACGGCCTTCTGCCCAAGAGGTCTTAGACACCTACAGGAAAGTTTTAACTCTGCTTATTCGGGAGGCAGCCATGCCTGGTACTAGGGAAATGTTATAGTGAGTCATGAGGCAAACAGCATACTAAAGTTGGTGTCCTTCCTACGTATGCAGCTTGCCTGAAGGGCAAAATCTCTGTCCCCAAGACTGAGAAGCAAAGAGCAATTGAATTTGTACTTTTTCATTAAAAACAAAATAAAGCCACCCAACCTCAGACCTGTGCAAGATTCCCACTGGCATGTATAATCTCTCATTGGAGGAGGAGGGAGAAAAATGAAGTTGTGTGGGTGCAGGGGAAAATTGTTCCTTAAGAAATAAATAAATTTTCTTTTGCAACATTTACACAAAAAAAATTCTTAAAAATTACAGAAAAAGAGTAAAAAAAAATTGGTCCACCTTAACTGATTGGCAGAGGACTGGAGAACAGAGATCATGGCATGCCCCCCACGAGCTTTGTGCTGATTCCTGTGGCTTTGACTCATGTTATATCCACAAAACCCTCATCCATTTTTCCATAGAGTAAAAGCAGTGGTCACTCAGAAAGGAGTACCCCAGCACACTTCAGATTTTTAGTGAGCCAGAGCTTCAATGGCAGTCTGTCCCTGCTGGATGGGGAGTTGGTTGTTTTTGGAGCTGTACATCCATTGCTCCGTGGGCCCCATATCCAACACCAGCAAGCATGTGGCCACTTTTGTATGTAAGCAGATGATGCAGATCCTGAAGAGTCTGCTTGCAGACACATGCTCTTGGTTTTCAGGCCTTTGCTCCGTGGTGTTCTCAGATGGGCTCTTTAGAGATGAAGCTGTGAAACAGGAGTCTCTTTTAATCCACAGAAATCCTGAACACTTTGGAAGAGTGCTGAAACATGTCTGTTTTTCATTCACTTATCCTTGCTTAGTGTAATCATGACTTGATGGAACAGGGAACTGAAAGAGAACGTGACTTTCTTCTACAGCAATGGGCACTAAACATGAGCTTTGAAAAGAAAAGCCCTGTATTCGGAGCATACATTTCTTTTGGATCTGAATCCAAAGGCCACTAAGCATAAGGAAAGGCTGCTAAAAAGCAACCTTGTTTGGTGTTAGGAAAAGCTTGTGGTACCTACATGGGTGTTGGAGCCTGGTACCAACAGCTGGGGAGATAGAATAATGATGCCCTAATCCCGCAGTAGGCTCTGTTGGGTGGGACTGGGATCTGGGATGCAGCTGTTCTCTTGGTGAAAAAACAGGAACAGTGTGAATGAGAAACATGGACCCATTGCACACCTGAGGACTTTCTGTGCTGTGGACTAGATCTTTGAAAGACCTAAGGGCCTGAGACAACTTTCATGTTTTGACTTGAGGTGATTTGTAAGCAGAGAAGTCCATGGTCCTTCCTGCTAAAGAGTTTGGTTCTGTTCTTTTCTGTGCTGCTATTCCTCTTCACCTAAAACAAGCTGTGTTGTGACTCCACTGAGAACATGCAGTTAGTTCATATATGTAATGTTCAAATCCTGTACCAAAATTTTATTTTAAACGGGAAATCTTTCCTGCAAGTTAGTAAATTCATACCTGATATCATACAATACCACCAGGAACCCTCTAAAGGCTGCTGGTTATGGCCTTCCTTTTCCTCTGGGCTGTTTTCTTAAATTAACTGACTTTTGTCATTTTTCACTTGTGCAGTCCTTCCTTGCAGCTTTCCTGCTCAGGCTGTCAGGAAGCAAAGCTCAGAAGTCAGGGTCTCCAAAAAAGAGCAGTGATTTTGGATGCTTTGGGTTTGTTTTGGACTTGGAAGCAAAACACCTTAAAGAAGCCTGGGGAAAAAGAATGTTCTATCTGTTGTAATTGCATCATCCAGCCCATGAACTCTTGAGTTGTTATTACTAGGGCTAGAGTTCTACAGTTCCAGCATGAGTCCAGGATATGCAGCAGTTGGAAAAGTGTCCTGTTACAGCTCCTCAAAGCCAGGGATCAAGCTTTGAAGGGCCGAGAGTCAAACCTTTTGCATGTTCCCCCTGCAATAACGTGTTACCTTTTGTTAGCCATCATGTACACTTGAAAGAAAAATCAGCATCTGATGACTGTGTATAAACATCCCATGTGTTTTTTATGAGAGTAGCCAGGACAGACAAGAAGAACCTGCCAAGCTTCTTATGCTGGTCTCTTAGTTAAGACAAGCTTCTGCTGGGATTCTTGCTCTGTTGTGTACTGCTGCACCTTGCCAACAGCCATATTAGTTTCACAGAGAGAAAAAAATGAGGACAAATTCCAGTTCTGAATAATTATCTTGCCATGGAGATGACTCTGTTCCTGGATGAAACAGATACAATTTTTTTAAGAAAGGTGTCTCCCTATACATTTATCCTGAGCAATGGGTCCTCTACATGTCTCTTTCCTCTCCTCCAGC